GGAGCACTTAATAAACATGCATGTTGATATGGTGCCAAAGGGCAAAGCCAATTACAAATACCAACTAGAGCTTAGCACGCATTTATACGCACGCAATTATACGAAACAATACAACAGAAGTGTTTGGTTTTTGACTTACAGGTACAGTGGATGATACAAGAGTACCCCTAAGAGGAACAACCCGATTCGTACGGAACAAATCTGCAATAATATGTTCAGCTTCTTCAGTTTTGCCGGCACCAACAAGATATCTTGGAGACTCAGGCAGAAACTAATATTTGAAAATATTACGAAGGAGAATTTTAAAGTAATTTAGCGAATGGGATAACCTGAGGTAATGATTCAACACAAATAAAAGTTTACAAGCACATATAACTACAGAGCACTGATATTTAGAAAATCAGGTTACTTCAAGGTGGGAACAAAAAATACAATCAACCATGAGAGTGTTAATTAGATTTATAATATATTTTTTGCACATGATAATTTATTAATCATCAATCAATAATACCACTGAAGTGTATGATATAAATTTACGAAATACAGTACCAAACTGTAAATTATTAAGGAGATTAGTTAACTTATGTATAGATCATTCAAGGTTTTACAGGGATGAAAAAATCAGTTAGAGAACCAATGGAAAGGTATCCTATATTGGTTTGGGTAATGCCACTAGTTAGCAAATGAAATTGGACTTTTTTAAATGTCATTATGTTATCACTAACCAAATGAATTTGGAAAGAATCATTTTAATTTTACATGATTTCTTTATTTTTTTATGGAAGTTACCTACTGTTTAGTAGTAATGACCGTTTCGCAGTTTTGTGAAGATGTTTGCCTTGTATAATACAATTTCCGATAAGGACCTGAATGAATTTACAAATAATTAATTAGTTCTCGACAAGTCACTATAAGAACGATTAAATTCTGAAAGTCGTTCAGGCTTACTAATTAAGATGAAAATATGCATTTACTATCTGTCAGCTCCCAGTGATCTTTCACAATGAATATTGTTCCCGATTCTGAACAAATCTCTAGTAAATTAAGGATTTGAACATCTATGCTGTGATATTAAGGAAATTCGTCATATAAGATTATTTATCTATCACAACCTGTACTAAAAAAATGAATGCTAACTGGCTACTACACTTTTTGTTAGAAATTTGTAGGACTAAACTGGTCAATCTCTGTTAGTTTTCGACTTACTGACTAGATACTTTTATAATGTTTGTACTTGTATCTTGTTTATGACTCAGCAGTTAGTGAAAATCAGGACATATTTCGAAACTAATATCCATCGCTTCACTCACTAGGGTATTATTCTCAAGTTTAGTGAACCACCAGAGCTACTGTTTGTTCAACAGGTAAGTTTTCATTAGTTTGAAATTTGGCACTATTGATTGATTCTTAAGACATTAACAGAGACTGACCCATTCTATTCCAAAGATAAACAGCAGGAGACTCAAAGTTTCAACAAAAGAATCACAATCTAGATAACTTCAAGAAGAAATAACCAGTCACACGATTACTCACAATACGAGTTTAATGAATGCTGATCAATTTAATAAAATCTGAAATAAATATATCTCAAATTTAGATAAAATGGTATCTTACCCTCAATAAAAATAAGAAAATCAATAGTGGTAAGGCTGAAACAAACACCAACCATCGCCAGCCAAATCTTGGCAGAATAAGGTATGCCAAACCAACTTCAAATGTGCTTCCAAAAGCCCAGAATATCTAGACGTTAATATGTCAAGAAAAAACCATAATACATAAGGAATTTAGAGAGGCAAAATATAACCTCTCAGTGAAATTAATTGAATAAATGCAAGACAAAACTATTTCATGATAGTTTTCATAGTAATATAACTGGTCAAGGTGGGAAGGAAAACGATATATGATCACTTAGTCAATAGTTTAAGTAAACATATTAAGGAAGCTCGAAAATAGTTAGTTAGCTTCAGTAACTATAAACACAATAAAAGAGTAATATACAAACCTTCAAGGGCAATTGGCTAATTACTGATAAGTACTGACAAAATAAGAGAATACTCTGAATGATTTGCTAGTGTAATTATGGCAGCTAGATAATGATTGGCAGATGAAAAGAGAGCAAAGCAGGTAAACTTAAATTAAAAAGAAAAACCGAAGTAGTATATCTAATCAACGGAAATATAGTGCGGGAAAACATGCCATCTTTCGCATTTATACTACGAATGGTTTCAAATCATTGTCTAACAAGAAACTAAACTCAGAAGGAAGCTGATAATACATACAACCTGATACTGCTAAACACTTGCAGGAGTATAACACGGTGTTTTTTGATAAATGTAGAACAGTGACAAAACAATTTTGTATCTCGTTTGAAATATAGGATTAATGGTAAGGAAAATTGTTAGTTAACTGGAGATAAACATTTAAGCAATATGTTATGTTATTAAGCAAGACAAAGATATTATGTGAGAAATGAATAAAAAATTGTGTTTTATAGAGATAATATGACCACATTTGACGAACTTATCAACCATTAGTTTGTACTAACAGAATGAAATTCGTAAGTTCAAATGTTATCCCACAGTAAAATCAATCGAGATTCTAAAAGGTTGGTCAAAATTAACTGAAATAAACTATTTGTTTTTTATCTTCTTACTTCATAGAGAAACGTCACGACAAGTAAATGGCATAACAACTTACATTGAAAGCTAACAGAACTTTGGCCCGATGCTTAACGGTCAGAAATTCGGAGAATAATGTGAAGCTAAAAATGAGATGAACATAAATAGGAAATTAACAAACTGACATAGGAGTGACATTATAATGAAAAACCATGGAAAATCCACGGTCACTTGGAATAAATTAGACGAATTGTGGTATACGCTTATTTATGACTAAGTGGTTGGTTTACGATGATCAATTCAGAAAACCGGACAATCCAAACTCGTTATAATCTGTCTGACAAGTACAAAAGATGTTCAAATTCCAGAATAAATATTGACTACGTTGAAACTGAGGGGAACTCCACGCAAATTCGTACAGAGACTTGTTAAGAGTTTTTACTTGTACCCAGGATTAATCAGTTAATGTCAACGCTCTGCAACTTTATATGAAGATTTAGTTACAATAGTTAGAATGAAAGAATAGTACGTCGTTATTACTCACGAAATCAACCCACCCAAATAATATGATTCATTTAAGAATTTTAAATTCGTGTACTCGATTTTGAACCACACTGTAAGAGGGTTATTGATACCAAATAGATGTCCAAAACAAAGCGGGGGAGACGGGACTTAAAGCCGAATTTCAATGAAATAGATTCAAGTGTTCAAACCATTAAGTCAATGCTCTTGACCACAACAGTGGCAATATGAATACCTCGATGTGCGATGTTCAGTGGTATAGAAGTAGGTTGGAAGAAAGCTAATGGCGGCCAGACCCAAACATGGCACAAGTCCATGAAGTCACTGACAAGTGGACTGAGTCATGTTGGTAGGTGTAGACTACCTGGTTAGGGACCGCAAGATGATAGCAACCGATGGTTAGAGACCCTGAATGATATGGCTCAAAATCGTTTGCAATGGCGCAGGTGCATCCACCTTTTGTGTTCTCTCGAATTTTAATCTCCTGATTCCTCCTTGTCTCTTTTTTTCTCTTCCCAAATTTATTTCACCGGATTATACTCTTTAAATAACATCTCCAAACCCTAATCTTCCCGATTACTGCTTATACTTTCATTACCTCTACCACTACGGGACTTGAATCGACCACTGCATTTCTGTGCTAATGTGGTGTGGCAACTCGAACTGACGTACGTGCGTACGAAGTTCTACGTTGTTACTGACTGACTGGCTGATCAATACCGGTGTGATCGATAGCCCCAGAATGCCCTGGGATGGCCGAGAGTGGGGTGGGACCGCCCTCCCTTTCGAAATGCTTTCACACGGCCACGTGTATAAAGTCTCCACAAGGGAAGTCCTACTCACTGCCTTCTCGTGGCGGGTGGTGTTTAAGAAAATGAGGGGACGAAAAGCGAATGTCCGGTGCTTTAACCGAATATCAAACCAGTGGTGCACATGGGTTCCAGTATCCAGCGGGAACAAATGGCATATGAACCAAACGTTGGTCACCGGCTACCATGAGACCTCATCTCCTCACGATGCCCAACTGCACTGTTTTATTTATTTATTTCAACACATAGATAATGGTACAAAGAGGCACCAAATACATATGCGCCACACAAATCTCATTCGATATGTGTGAGGGCTGTGATACTGCCCGGGTGCCCAAACCGAAGCAGGTAGTTTTCTTAGGGGACCACACCCCGAGCCTTCGACCTGAAGGTCTGATCCACAAGGCAGTGGGGCATCGTAAGGAGATGCAGTCCCATGGAAGCCGGTGACCAACAATTGGTTCATTCGCCATTTGTTCCCGCAGGATACTGGAGCCCATGTGCACCATTGGTTTGGAATTCGGTTAAGGCGCCGGACATTCGCTTTTCGTCCCCTCATTTTCGTAAACAACACCCCCGCCACGAGAAGGCAGTGAGTAGGACTTCCCTGGCAGAGGCTATATACGCGTGGCTGTGTGAGAGTATTTCGAGAGGGAGAGCGGACTCTCCCCACTCTCGGCCGTACCAGGGCATTTGCACTGTAGGTCAGGCCTTTAGGTCAAAGGCTCGGGGAGTGGCCCCCTAAGAAAACCACCCGCTTCAGTTTGGGCACCCGGGCAGTATCACAGCCCACACACAAATGATGAACCCTCTATGTCTATGGAAACTACTTTTTTCGCTTCGAAAAACAATCAATTGATTCAAATTATTATCATTATTAATACTATTATTATTACTATTATTGTCATTATTATTATTATTTTCCACATTATTCACCCTCTTTTATACTTATACAGCGGCTCGTCTTTGGTGGAAATTCGACTGTATCTAAACGTTCTCGAGCCACTGTCCGGTTAAAAATTGTATGTTACCACCGAATATGAGTACTGAAGCAGTTTTTCTGAAATCACGTGTGCCATTCAAACTGGCTGCCTTCAACGTTCGCACACTTATGCAGGTTGGTCAACAGATAGGGCTGGCTATGTCTTTGGAAAGTCTTAATATCGATGTCTGCTGTCTACCCGAGACCCGTATTCAAGACTCTGGTGAAGTACTACAAATTCGCTCTCTATCTGTCGCTTCAAAAAGTTTGTTTCACGTGCGTTTATCCGGGGACCCTGTGGCATCTTCGTCTGATCTTGCTGGCGTTGCTGCTGAACTAAGCGCTAGACCTGAGGCAGCACTAATCGATTGGATTCCCATTAACAGTCAGTTATGTACAGCTAGATTAGAAAGTTCCATCAAAGTGAGAAGAAATCGGCGTGAGAAACGATGTTTTTTCGTCATCTCCGCCTACGCTCTAACAGATTGCAACCCGGATGCAATCAAGGATGAATTCTACTACCAGTTATCTGTTCTTTTCCAGAAAATGAGTTCGACAGATATTATAGTACTAGCCGGCGGCTTGAATGCTCAGGTCGGGCGTCTAGGCACAGAGAGTCGTTTAGGTGGGCGATGGGGACTTGTTGGTCACAGGACAGATAACGGTGACCGTCGCAACTTCATGACGCCATGAAAATGGCGAGTGAAGCCGTTTGCGGCTTCGCGAAACGTCCCGCTTATAAGCACTGGGTTTTTTCAGGCTCCTTACAACCCGTCGGTCTACTCTGGGTGACCGTGAGTATGACAATAAACGAAGGACGTTACGTAATGAAATCGGGCAAAGATTGCGTAAGGACAGAGAAGCCTGGTGGTCGGAGCGTGCTAATGAGTTGGAAGCAGCAGCTGCATCTGGTAACTACCGGAAGCTTTTACAACTCATTCAAGCCACTGGCAGCAAGAAGTCTGGTGTGAGTGAAACAATCTGCGAGGATGACGGGATGCCAATCACCAACATCCACCGACGTCTTGAACGATGGGCAGAATTCTTCGAAGGGCAGTTCAACTGGCCTGCTGCTCCGGCAACATCGGTCAGACTGTCCTGCCCTCCAGTGCCGGTGACGACTGATCCACCAAATGAGGCGGAAGTCAGCAAGGAACTCCAACTCTCGAAGCGCTACAAGTCAGCTGACCCAGATGACTTACCTCCGGCCCTTTTTAAAGATGGTGGTGACTTTCTGACTAAGGAACTGACAACGTTGTTTACACAGGTCTGGGAGCTCGAGAGTGTACCAACGTCATAAGATGAGTCGATAGTTGTCCCTATCTTTAAAAAGGGGTCATGTTGTCCCTGTAATAACTATCGGGGGATAAGTCTACTTCCGATTGCGTCCAAGCTAATGAATTCCGTCATACTTCGTAGGTTGTTCAAAACCCGAGAAAGAATGACTCGCGAGGAGCAGCCTGGGTTTCGTTCCGATCGAGGATGTATTGATCATATCTTCACCCTCCGCCAAATGTTAGAACACCGTCAATGCACGTATAATGAAAGCCAGAGCGGCTTATGCCAATCTGGGCCATCTTTGACGCCTCCGCGATGCTAGTCTGGCTGTAAAAGGTCGGATCTACAACGCGTCGGTGAGAGCAGTTTGGCTCTATGCTTGTGAAACCTGGCCTCTCTGAGTTAAGGATGTTAGACGACTCTCTGTGTCCGATCATCGTTGTCTCCGAAGGATTTCCGACATATAGTGGCAACACACTGTTAGTAATGCAGGGGTCCGGCATAGTCTGTTCTGGCACAGCGACGATAATTCAATTAGTGACACTATCTTGAAACATTGACTTCGGTGGCTTGAACATATCTTACGAATGTCGTCTCAGAGAGTTCCACGTCGTTCACTATTTGATGACGCTGGGACTGGTTGGAAAAAGCGGAGAGGTGGTCAGTGTATGACATGGTGTCGAAGTATGACAGAAAGCTGCAAAGGGCTGGCTTCTGTTGGTCCTTCGCGACTCCCTAGTTTGGGTCCTAGAGATGGTGCAACACAGTGACTAGAGACGTTATCAGATATGGCTCGGAATAGAAGCCAGTGGCGATCCTGCTGTAACCTTTTACTTTCTTCATAAAAAAATAGTTGTTTCCTCCTTAACTGAAAGATTTATTCTGGTTGTACCTTTCAGTTTCCCTCATTATTACTATTATTATTACTACACTACCTTACACTAATCTGTTCGTTATTGTTCTTTTTTTCTCTTCGAATTCTCATTGTTTTGTGTGGCGCATTTATATTTGGTGCCCTCTTGTACCAATATTTATGTGTTGAAATAAATGATAATAATAGATATGTTCATTCAACTCTAATCACCACGCCTATTGTACACAACCACAATCGGCCTGAAGCGTTAGCACACCATTGATCACAATAAAGAAACTTCATTGGTAGTTATTAATAATAAATAATCATAATACTTATACAAACTATCCTGAATGCGGGTAGCAGTTACAAGTGTCATGGGATATTTATTTTATTTCAGTAGAATGGTCGATAAAACGTGTCTAGAAACCCTGATAAGATTATCACAAAGTTGACATTACAACTAGAAAATTGATATGATTAACACAAAACAGGTAAACTAAAAGTGTTGAAAGAAAATTTTTCATTTGGTGAATAGGATAATTGATATTTAGAACAAAGAATGACTTATCACAAATAAAGTTCTTTATAGATAAGTGACATATATACCAGTAAGAACTAATTCTAATTTAACTAAATTAACCCAAAACATACGTTGAGTAAATTAATGTCATTTTGACGAACCACATTTTACTTCGAGTTAGTGAACAGGAATGGGTAAGCCTAATTACTGTCCCATATGCGAAATACATCAACTTACAAGATATTTTTGGTCGCTTTAGCAAAATATCACAGTTAATGACTTTACTGTTAAGCTATTCACACTACAATTAGGATTAATATAGGAATAAGTAAATCATGTACATGCTGAATTCATTTAAGTTGAACTTCATCCGGGTATTCGATCGGTTAAAATTTCATTTCCCTAAATCAAATATTTTTCAAAGACATTAAGTCATTTTATATTTTGCAAAGTACTGATATTCATCTGGTAAATATGACCTGTATAATAAAGTTATTAATGAATAATAATCTCCTACTCTAGCGTCAGTTAAAAACCACGTTGATACATTATCAAGTGTAGGTCAAAGAGCTTCTAAATTTTCTACGAATTCGAAAAGCAGTTTAAACATTTGTAATTCAAATCACTTTAGTGTTTTGTGTTAATTCATGTATTTTTTTTAACTGTTAGAGTGTAGAGAGTAGACATGTTAAGTAAAATTGAACATTCGTTAAACACAAGAAAATGATCGTGTAACTATCGGTAATTGGAAATTTAAGAAAACTAACCTGCTATTTCCACCACCAATAGCGAATCCGACCAGGAGTCGTAATATTATGACCCAAATATAAGTGGGGGCACAACTTGTGATGATACCGAAGTAAGTTATCATTGATAAAACAATCAATAAAGTCTGTTAAAGAAAATAAAATTCTTAGTTATATAAATTATTATGACCGATACTAGTTATGCAAATCGAAGTAGTAGAGTAACACTGAACACAAGAGTGGAGGAGATGAAAAGAAACACCAACCAAATTTTTACTAAGCCCTCATAGACTTTTCTACTAGCACTCAATTAGTGAGAATACAATAGAAAGTAAAATGATTATTTTCCGTTCCAGCTGCACGGAAAAATGCGTGGGTATTCATAGAATTCTTTGATATACTTGGTGATCAACCGTTAAGAACAGAAGTTTCGTAGACCATAAATCAACGGTACGGGTGTGATTTATAAAAAATAAGGCTTTGACTGATTTATGTCAAATTTCTAGGGAATACTGCATTATTCAACATAAGTAGAATCAACAGATGAACGGTGATGCTGTAAAATTTACATGAAGGAGAACGATTTTGAATAGGGAACGATGGCCCTTAAGCTAGCTCTTTTTAAATATAAGACGAGATATATCGAACCACAGTTCAAAGTTAGGAAGTTCTGAACCTTTTCATTTTCCATAGTACTACATAGTAGTGCCACTATTCTGCTACAACTATATGCCCTTGAATACAAAACTGAAAAATTTGACTATCAGCAACTAGTTTCCCGCGGTTTTAGCATTAATTTAAACAATAAACCCAATTCTTGAACAAATAACTTCCGAAAAACTACCGACTTTAGGATACTTTCTTAATAAAAGTATAATATCAAGCATTAAAGCGTACGAATGGAGAATACCAACAACGAATGAAAACAACAGGTTCATATAATACTAAGACTAATGTCAGTCATTCATATAATTAAATATAATTATGTCTGAAATAAGACATAGGTACACTGAATCTTTAAATTGATACACACTGAATGTCGATACATAAACACAAATAATACTTATAATATTCAATTGATAGGTTGCTTTTCTAAATATGTACTGATAAAAATCACAAAATTTTAGCAAGAGGATGAAAACAAATCCTAAGTGTGAAGATTCCCACAACTAATATACTGAGTTTTCGTCAAAATAATAATCGCAATAATAATAATAATAATAATAACAATAATAATAATAATGGATTTATGAAAAATTTGATAACAGATTCAACTATCTGAATATTTAAGTTGAGAATTTAAATAATTTCTATGTCCTGAAAGCTTACCGGCCAACGACCAAATCGATCTGCGATAAAACCCCATAAAGGAGCTCCAAATAAAAACCCGGCAAAAACAACCTAAAACATATCAAAGACCAAAGCAATTAAACTTCAACGAAATTACGGTCAATGGTTTATTACACCCAACTGTCCTAGTTTCTTTCATTATATGGAAGGTAGTCTAATCATTGAACACAAAAATATAAAAACTTAGATCCAAAAAAGTACTTGGCATTCTTCCGAAACTTAGCACATTGAAAATCCGTATTTTTGGTTAACATTTACGGGCTGTGATTCTAACCGTACGAATATGACATACATGGGCAACTAGAAATCAAGATAAAGGTTCACCAGGCTAATCGCAGATATAATGTTGTTACAGTAATCTGATGAGAGATAAGTGGGACCAGCTGAGACAAATTTAACCGAAAAAGAGATTAGTTATAAAAAAATAGGATCGCCTAAAGAGTAACACTGGATATCCGAATTAAATTGTACCAAATAATAAAAAATGAGAACTGGCTCGTAACCTCACAACGGATCCAGTTAATAAATGGTATTACTGTCTGAGCCACTTTAAAAGGATTAGGACAAACAATTATAAAGCAAGCTACAGCACACGGCCTTTTGTGTGAGGTTTTTGACGTGTTAGCTCCGTCCTTTAAAAGGCATTAACACCGAAGATGGGAATCCGTGAGGTAAGGTGAGGTGTGACATTTTAAGGGTCGACCTCTTCTAACCCTTTACTTGTGAGAAGGCAGCATCGCTGCAGATGATGGTTGTACAGATGAAACACCTTAATGCTGTCACACCCTTTTACAGTCAGCAGTACGACTTCGCCCTCAGACCTTGCGTTGCTGCTTTTAGTCTTACCGTTCTCCAATCGACCTGTCTGGCATGGTAGAACTTACAGGAACATATGTTCCATCCAATATAGCTCGGTTGGGTCAACACGATAGGCCAGCCCGACCACTACGTCAAGGTAGCAGATAAGGTCGGGCACCAACTCAACAACTTGCAGATTGAAGATCAAGTCAAATTTCTCATCTCGTGTCTGAATAGTGAATTTATTTTAACCCCATTTATAAGTGTACTGTCGAAGCTCAAGAACTAGAGACATTCTAGTTGATAATGTTTACAGACTGAACGGTGAATACGCTATCCTATGCTCACAAAATCCAAAGGTTGAAGCCAATCTGCCTCTAATATGCAAATTCACTGTTATTTCATTATGATTGATTGTGCATAGCTGTTTTTTAATTTCTCCACGTAAGGAAAGGAAACAAAATCCGCTACTGAGTATTTTTCTTGGGTGTTCGAATGGTTTACTCGTGGGAAAATTTTGAATTCACACTCAGTCAAGTGCACTTTGTTTGCATCAAAATCCTTCTAATCTGTTGTAAATACATCTTAAATTGATTTTAGGTTTCTTAAAACTACGAATTCAGTTCTCACTCGAATAGGTTAGCAATCAGATGTCATTCACTGCTTTAATCTTGGTAAATAAATCGCTAGCAAACAGCACTAGAGAAGTGAATACTGATATGTGCGTATGTGTATTGCTCATAAATAAACTGCATAAATATATATGAACACATTTTCATAAAACTTAGTGATCGACACCATTTTGAGTACAATTCATCTGTTCACTATTATTAAGCCGAAGTTATCTGAAAAATAAACATAAAAATATCCAGACTCTTGTTATATCAACTGTCAGAACGATTCCAATTTTAACATGTTAAAAATTCCTTACCCTCTCGCTGGTTGTAAATAACAAGTTTTGCATACTCAATTTGATTATAAGGATTACCAGAAGTTTTTAATCAAAAGAACTGAGGCCGCTTAATGGCCTGACGTAAGATATTGCTTTTGACTCACACATCCATCATTGCTAAAGTCTATTTTCTAGTAATCAGTAAATGGAATGTACAGTAAAAAAAAGGCTGTTTAACCATTGTTTTCCTATTAGCTATCTTATCACTTAATGGTACGACTGTTGAGGAATTCGCTGTTAGGCAAACTGTTTTCTTGGAAGGAAGTTGCTACGAGCAAGAACTTACACGAATCTTACAATTTGAAAACACTCACTTCCGTCAGTAGGAATAAGACATCCCGGCATTTTTATTTTCTATCCCATTGATTCAGAATCAGTAAACGTTAGTTTTTAACTAAAAACAGATGTTCAGCAATACTGAAGAAGCGATCGTAAGACAAAACAGTAGTTGGTTTGGTTTACTCTTGAAGTCCACCAACGTACAGAGAACTTTAAAAAGCGAATAAGCTTGTAACTTTTCTGAAATTCTTAAAGAGGTAACTCGTACTTACTGTGGTTATGGCAGCAACTTGTCCTGACGACAGAAGCCAATAACATCGTAATGCTGGACCAAGTACTGAAAGCAGTAGCATTTCCATCGCATCTGCAGCCTACAGATAGAAGTTTGATACGTTTAATAAGGTTTGTTATCATAATTAGCAGAATGAACAATAAACTTAAGTAAACCATAAACCCTAATTATTCATTGGTGCCAAGCTATTTAGCATTTAGGAAGAAGGGGCACTGTACCTAATTTGTTCTAGCAAAGTGATAACAGCAACTAGAGCTTTCAAGGTTAATTTTACAGATATTTTTATCGGTCCAAAATGTTGAGGCGCTATGATAAATTATTTTTTGAACCTATGGCAAATGCTACCACGAAGGTACATAATGTGATTTTCTCAATATAATACAAAAATGAAAAGGTTTATGCAACTAATCAGGAAACGGGTAAACAGAAATTAACAGAATCTTGCACAGTTGTGTCCTATAGGTTACCAAAACACAAAGAGTCCAAAAAGGTGTTTATACAACTTAGTGGTTTAAGGGCTTGACTCGGTCGTAGTTTGAATGCGCATACACTTGAGACCACGAAAAACAAATAACCGAGTTTGTTTTCTTAATTTTCGAACTTTTCTGAAACTTCCGCTGATGTTGGACCGACAAACTTCAAGTTTGATGACAAAAGGTATGCTTTCCATGTACAACTTTTACCCTCTGAGCTGGATGGTTTGGTCGACCAAACCATCCAGCTCAGAGAACAAAACTCCACCAAAATCATCCACCTGAGCTACAAATCTTCTCCACCATCTCACAACTTTTACCTGTCTTTGTTTTTTTGCAACTTACTAACTATTCTGATTAAGATCTAAAACTGTCTTCAACGATATACAAAAACGATATGTTATGGTTGAAGATTCACGTTAAACAGTTCGCTATGAATGATAAGCTCATTCTTACGTGAAATCCGATATTCCTTATTTTGATTTCTTAAGTGCTGTATTTATAAGCATGGAAGTATATTTAAAAATGAAACGAAAAATACATTTTCCTGGAAATTTCTTTCTTTGGAAAGGTAATATCAGAGATTTATGTCAGTTATTTTCTAATACACCGAAATAATTATGCGGTGTAGATACCATGAACTTTAATGCTAGACACAACGAAGACGCTTACCGATATGGCTCCACATAAAATGAAAAGCTTCAACTGAAACCTTCCAAAACCAGCTGCCTCTACAGCATCTTCAACTGTATATGTAGGGTTTGGCTTCTCTTCTGCATCTAATCCGTTTTTACTGGAATCAGATTTATTTAGATCTTCTGAATCTAGTCGCGCAGATCCAGCTACTTCATTTGAATTTAGTTTGTTTTCAGATTTATCAGGAAAGAGGGATTGATATACAGGAGGTGAAGAGGGATAATCCTAAGAGGGTTTATATAATTACAACTCCATCAACAAACCATTATCTATTAACTTGAATTACGATAAAAGTTGTGGATTTTTTGTTTGGGAGTTAGGTCAATGGTTTGATCATATTTACAATTTCAGAAGTATACCTGAAGCAACAAAAATAAAGTACTAATTTTTAAAACATTATCGAGGTGAAAGTTCCGTTAATATGAATAGTAATAGAGCTAATTTCAACTACGTGGGAACCACCACTACAAAAAACATAGATTCAGTAAACATGGGTAAACAATGAGTCCAGAAATTGTGAGTACTATGGAACACAGGACAGCAGATAGATAAGACTGTATTAATGAATAATATTAACTCGTCTTGATGTTCAAGATAAGAGGTTGGTATCAATTGAGTCATCAATATACACATCGTTCGGAAAACATTTAATGTTCGGATTATTGTTAAGTCACAGTATGCCGGGAAAATGTTTAGTACTAGCTATTTCAGTTTTGCTGATGGCGAAGCCGAACAACCCGTGAAAAAACCCAACCACAAGGCTAGATGTCATCAGTTTCTTAGTATACGAGATATGACACTCTTATGGTTAAAAACTACCATTAGATGGAGTCAGAGGCATCTTCCCCTTACCAAACTGCCGATTATCATGATTAGAAACTCTAGGAAAAAAGAATAAAATTTGAAGTATGTTATATTTTTAGCCTGCTAATAGGGAAAGAACTGAACAACCCGTCTCTACCACCTCATAAGGAGATATACGATGTCAGTACGAAAAAGAGCCAACAATTTGTTTGGACGCCCTTACATCTTCCCGCCTTTATGCTATGCTTCAATGTGATTTGACATATGGTTCAAAGTGATTGTAGACGGAATAGAAGAAGCTTTCGCTTAACAGGCTTCCGTGTCTAGTAGCAGGGGATCACGAATACCTTCCCATTTCGAATTGAAAATTCAATATATTTGAAACGAGTTAGTAAACTGAAGTCGACTTATCATAACCTCTCTAACTAGCGTTTTAAAACTGTTCCAAACATCTTGAATCGTTTATTTAGGTTACTCAAGACAAGCAATTACCCTATTCTTAATGTGTCGATTAGTAGTCAGAGGTTAATTTTCTTCCAAGATGGTTAGTGAAGATTTCACGTGGCAATGAGTTTAGTAGTTATTGTATCACACAACCCCAGAACTACTTTGGTTGATCGTATGAAATCCTGAAAGCAGGAAATAAATCACTATTCAAGATGGAAGACGGACCAAAGAAATGATTTACAGATGCCACAGATATGACATCAAGGCGAGTTTGTCTGTAACACAAATATAATCAAAGTATACCAACCCAGTCAAATCATAAATCAAAGATGAATTGGTTTGAACACATATGAAGAATGTTTTCAATGTGTTGAGAAATGCGCAGCGGTTAATCAATCCCAAAAATTAATACTCCTGTAAGTTTTCACAGGAAATCAGTAGTTGAAGGCGATCATTCACGCACCCAAAACAGATGACGAGTAGGTATGCCGTGCCACACATCCCTCTCAACTGTTAGCTAGCTTAGACCAAACACTTCCCAACATATCGATAGCCTTCCAAATACATTTTCGAACTCAAACATTTCTTTAATTTTGATTTTCCTGAGTTGGTATACTTAGAACATAAAGGTGTTATGTATGAAGACGTTGTCAAACTCCGAATGTCTGTGGCTTTCTTAGTGGTGAACCTGATGTGATCAAACACACCAAACAATAGACTGTGAGTCTGTTCCTTGGTGGAACACTGAATGTCGTTTCTTAAAATTTTATTTTTACAGCTGGTATTGTTCATTTGAATCTTCCCATTGATGAACGGTATTGAGTTCGAGCCTCGGGGTGAACGTCAGCTCGGAGATACACGTACATCCAGCTGACGGGCCCCAAGTAGGACGAAACGCAAATTCTGCATTTCACTGCCAGCCACCATCCAACTTTGCTTATAATGTAGTGATATTGGTTTAATATGTTCGGATAAATTTCCCGTCCATTTGTATATTTTATCTTCAGTATGACGGGATAGGCATTTAAGTTGACTTCCTCAAGAACGGCCCGAGAGACGCACGTGCACAATCCCTCGCAGTAGTGAAGGCACTACATCGAGATTTAAACAGGTACGTCACACCCAGTATGTTTGCTAGTGATGTTTCGTAAGCTTACGACACTTTAAAGAAGGATGTTCATAAATTTGAAGGCCTGATCGACTGACAAAGGTCAGACCAACTGTTCCACAACGGGGCTCAGAAACGGAAATATTGCTGAAAACGCGAATGGTCGTTAGCCAAAAAACCTTTGACGATAGCCTGTTTGGACATCTTTTTTTCTCTTATCTTCTTCAACAAGTGCAGGTGGTTCTTGTTTCTTTTCAAAGTAACGCCGTGCACGAACTGGCTGCATCTGCCAATTGGATTCTGGGGAATAACAGAACTATTCTATCGAATAAAAGTCCCAACACGAAAAGGTGTCATAGACCTCTGGCATACTCTCAATCGTCACCTTAATATTCATCCCGGTTGTAGACGCTCAAAAAAGCTCGTCACGAAATGAATCTATCTCGTGACCACGGGATATAGGCAATCTTGATTATTGCTGGTACAACAAGTATAGTAATTCTTCTCGAAGTTGCAGGAAACTCTGCAGTTTTTCCGTCTCCAAACAATCCGACTTGAAAAAGTTCACTGTTAACTTCCTAGTCAGCATGTGTTAGTGGTAGCCGTAGCTGGCGGACTCAGCTGTTTGTTGTGCAGCACAGGTATAAGGACGATATTTCACAGTCTCGTGAACACTGGCGCAGAATCAAGCGTTCTATTCGCAAATTCAAACGACCGTATACTTAAACCGGTCTTCAACTTACAGGGGGCACTTGAAAAACCGATTGCTACATATGGTAAGCGATTTATGTATCTTAACATATGTTTACGCAAACCCATTCACTGAATCTTTGTTGCAAATTTTTCTAAGTAAATCATTGGTATAAACCTGCTACAACACTACAATATGCTGATCGACACGCGCAAACATTGCTTTGTAGATGGTCGGTAACCGTTTTTGTGCCTTCCTTCGCCGGTTGTTAATAATCCTCAGTAACCGTAAGGCACATAATCGATCCATCATGTCAACAGATACTCGATAGATACCCTGATCTGTACCAAACTGGAATAAAATCGACATGTGTAGCCAACATCATTACACATCATATCACGACTACAGGACCAAGTGTATTCACGAAAGCGGGTCGACCAACTCTTGAGAAGGTGAGATTGGTCAAAAACGGATTAGACAGCATGATAGACCTAGAAATAATTCGACCACCGAACAATTCACTGGTACTGCCTTTAGTCAGTTAGTTACAACGTAGGACCTCATTTGCTTAGCAAGACGAATGTCGGATTCACAAGAGCAGTTAACTTCAGATATACTACACATTTCTGGGGCGAAAAATGTAATGGAAGAAGCCTTGTTTCGTATAACGTTTTTAAACAATCTACCTTCCTAAACTTGTCCAGCTTCAAACAGAAGACACTGATCTTCAGCACAACTTATCTCTGACAACCCTGAAACAACGTACCAAGCAGATGGGAACATGTAAGGAAATCTTACTGTGTAATATATCTACAGTTTGAGATCATTCAATCGTGTCGAAATATTGTCGACGCAATGTCTTCAATACGTGTCACAAGCCTTCTCGTCCAGGTGTTCATGCAACCATCAAGCTCATAGCAGGACGATTTTATTGGCCTAGTTTTAACAAGGACGTGAAGGATTGGACTCACCGCATGAAATCTAAAATGGTTAGACATAACAAATGTCCCTTGTGTTCTGTTAAAACTCTCGACACTCGTTTTGATCATGTTTATCTTGATTTGGCAAGCCCCTTGGCAGATATAATTGGATACTCCTACCTCTTACTGTGATAGGACAATGTCACATGGTGGTCAGAAGTAGCACACATCAATGACATTACTATTGAAAGAGTGGCACGAGCCTTCTCTGAATGATTACTGGCAAACATCGGCCGCCTTTCAACTAATACTATAGACCTGAACATTTTCTATATCGTACTGCACTACTAGGAATCACAAAATTCCAAATGACCGCCTGCCAGAACATTTAAACGATTACTGCACATACGACACTACATGAAATTTTGTTTGATATCTATTTTTCTATTATTTTTGTGTCAGAAAATACGTTGTCAACATTACGCATAATTAGTGATCGCTGGTAATACGATATATGTCATAGTACAGATTTACGACCCACATCCGTCTTCATTGACAAGCACTGTTCAAGAACCCTTCCTCAAATACGACTTGTTCTGTACTCTTTACAAGCATTTATTTGCCAGACGACTCCAGACAACAGTATTGGATCCATAAGTTCACACAAATTTTGAAAAAATTGAAATTCAGATACGTAGATCTCCGAAAGCCTGTATACGGTACAATATCTGACTTTTCTGAAGGATAAGTGGCACCATCAACTACAGTATGTCGAATTAAACAATTTTACGGAGTTCAGTGTCCGTTGTACTTAAGTGTATAATTAAGCGATTTATTTAGGCTATTGTCAATGTTTAGTTCAGATAGTAAATGACTCGATAATATTAATTTGGTCAAATCAAAACGATGAAATAGTTATCTGATATTTCAAAATCACTTATTTCATGGTTTGTTTGTATGTACCAATGTTTCATTTCGTTTTATGGCAAAATCTTGAATATTATTTTTCGGTATGTATTAGCGCTGTTATTATCTGCATCATTATCATCTACTAAAAAATCTCGCAAATGGGTGAAAATTTACATAAAAAGTCTGAATTAGAAGTTGAAAGTGAAAATGTCGTTGTTGACTCAGTACTGATGCATAAGGCTACACCAGAATATCTTCAAGAACTACTAAAAGACAAAAGGCAGCTGCAGAATTTCCCAAACATATTTTTACACTTAGAATTCATTTTGGAGAAAGGTAAATATTTCGTTAATATATTTCATATGTTTAGCTTGAAGTTATCAGATTGTATCTTGTTTTAGGTGGTGCAGAGGTAATGTCAGACCTAACAGACTTTCAGTATAGATTATAAAGCCGTATCTGCATCCTAACATTTATGAATTTATATTTCTTTCTAGTCCCTTTGTATATGAATCGCTCATTCAACTGGCCTTATCTTCACACTTTGTTAATAAAACCACATGTTTCTTTAGCTTGTCGTTAATATTTAGTGAATTGTACTAATTTTGTTAAAATATTAAAATTGACATGTGAAATTTGTTGCTCAAATCAACAATAATACATCATTTGTGCTTCTAATTGGGATCTAATATGGTCTTTAACGTTACGTTGTGTATGTCTAAACTTTTGATCAGTACCATTTGTTTAAGACTATTGAAATACTAATCTAAAACCAAGCTTGATTTATGATAATGCACTTATTCTAATACATTTTGAGAGTATCACAGTAACATAATTATTATAGTTTTGATTTCCTTCAATCGGTAGTGAGGGTTATCTCACCATAATAAATGTTTATTTGAGTGTTTATCCGATACCTTCGTACATTATAAATTGTTTGATGTCACTTAAGATTATCGTTGTGTATTTTGCCATTGCAGAAATTACTCGCGTAAGGCAAAAGCTATTTCATTTAAACGAATCAGTAAAGAAAACTGAAAACGAGCTTCCAGTACCCTCCGGAAATATTGTGTCATTACAAGAGAAGGTATTTGTTCCTGTGAAGGAAAATCCAAATGTTGGTTAACTTCGTTCACCTAAATAATCCTAATATTTTAGTATAACTTTGTTGGACGCCTTCTCGGTCCGAGAGGATTGACTGCGAAACAGCTTGAACAAGATTTGGAGTGTAAAATCATGGTGAGAGGTAAAGGATCACTTAGAGACAAAAGAAAGGTAAAAAGTGACGAATTAAAAATAATATATCAAAATTTTGCTATCACTTATACATCGCATAGTATAAATTGTGCAGGCTTGATAATGTTTTATTCTTAATACTATGAACGTTTTGCAATGTTGATCAGAATTTCGTCTTCTGGTAAAATGGATGGTTTTATATGATTCTTTTTAGCTAATAATTGACTAACCTATGGATATATTTTTTAACATGTTACTGAAGTGAATCATTTTTAAATGGTTCTATAAGATGCCAGTAACAAACTGAGTTTTTAGCGATGGATAAATAATATTATGATATTTCGACCTGACATATTTTTAACGTTTGTATGCACGTATACATAGTGAAACTACTAGTGTTTTTATGTACGTAAACTAATGTCATCACATTCGAAAAGATGTTTTCTGGAGGGGATATTACCGGCACCCAGTGATCATTTCATAGTGGAGCTTAAGAAAGATGCCACAGATTGATAAAGTACAAATAATAGCCACTTAGTTAAGCGAACAGAAATCAGATAGACAAAGTTACTTCTTTTTGCAAGCGACGTTGTAATGTTTTGAAGATTGAGATCAGTTATCTGTGGTTGAAGTCTCAAACGTCTAAAAGCTTATCTGTATATTTGTTATTTAGTCTTAACTGACGGGAAATCGTCAAGTAAATATTGACAATAACAAACTAACTCCAATATTCCTATTCACTAGCTGTTTTATAGATCAATTACATTCTTGATTAAAGTTAATTCTTTCTGATAGTTCACTAACCACATACTATAGTAGTTTAAAACATAAACCATGTGTACAGCTGTGGATCTCTGGGATAATAAATATATCTCTTGACAGACTGAAATTTCCTAACGGACTTAGAGTGCCATAACGAGGAGTTATTTTACGTGTTTGATTATATAGTACATCTTCGATTTTTTTGTGTTGCTATGTCACCCTATAAAGTAGATCATAGCAGAATTCTAAACACATTGCATCAAATTTATTTGTTATGTTTGATGTATTTTCCACGTTTGTTCAATTACCTATGTACATATCTCCAACCATCACTTTATTAGTGTGATCTATTTGAAAAAAGATGTTAATTCACAAGAATGCCAATTAATGGTCCTCAGTTTGGTTGCAGACCTGTATTTTGTCTACACAGATTATTATCGAGCTTTGTGTTGTTTCTGACATGCCCAGCCATTTTGACAGCAAAGTTTTATTTTAATTTCGATGTAATGGTGTTGATATTTACTTGCTGAAGATATCGATTTCGTAATGACTCAGTTGTTCAACCAGATTTCAAAATTATCGACGTTTTTATTTTACTTTTACTAAACAGAATCCTTTTAGAATTTATAACCTGAGTAACATGTTCCAAATAACAATTCAATAGATGTTTTATATTCTCTACATGTAAATATATCAATACAAAATATTCCTATAGGAGGATTCAAACAAAGGAAAACCAAACTGGGAACACCTGGATGAGGAGTTGCATGTTCTGGTGAGCGTCGAAGATTTTGAAAGTCGTGCGGCGATTAAACTCAGAAGAGCGTCCGAAACAATTCGTGCATTTCTTGAGCAAGGAGTGAGGACGGTAAGTAGAGGTTTTTGAAGCAAAGCACAAAATTATACGTGAATTGTTTTATTTAAGTTTTAGCTATATAGGACCTAAAACGTTCTGTAAAGAGATGCTTTTAAAGATTGCTTTGGAAACCAAAGCAGCGATATGTCGCGACCCGTTCAGAATTTAGTCATTGAAAATGCTCTGCTAGATTACAATCTAGTACTTCCGTCATCATCATTACAATTTAATCTCCTTGTAAAACTAGTCAGAGATGCTCTTTTATTTTGGTGGATGGATTTTGGAACACAAAAATACTTTTGATATGGCAAAAATTTGTGAAAATAATTTGCAAATAGTTTTAAATTTGAGAATGAGCTCAAAGAAAGGCACTTTGAAAAAATCTAAACTCACTAATTTTTAGCATTGAAACCGAGGGCAGGTTACGCAATAGCTACTAAACGTTCTTAGTGAATTTAATTCACTTTTAAAGGACGGGCATGATGACGGTTGTGTAGTGTAAAATTCTGTTGGTCTTGTCGATATTTTTTGATAATTTACTTCATATCAGATGCGTATAAAACAACTATAAGGGTTCCAGTGTTGCACTGTAATCCGTTGAATATAACCCCAAGTTATTGCATGATCGATTAGATAAAGTACTAAGGTAAAAAAATACTACTTCAGTTTGCCTAAATGGAATCAATAAATGTACTGTGCTTCATAAATATCTCAAAATCAATCTACTATAAACAGGTAGTTAGCACTAGAAACAATTTTGTGCACTATGCACGCATATTACCAAAATTAGTTGAATGACCGATTCTAAGTATATCTAGCTACAAAATTTCGGATTCTAATGATAACAAAGGTTTACAATCTGTTACTTTACTTGGTTCCACAGTTTTATTGCATTTTTAAAAAAGTGCAGCCGTAATTACTCAAAATTATTGATAGTTTGTTAACTATTTTGGAATAAGTTTGTAACGTCAAAATGGGCTAGCATCTTAACCATTAAAAGCATATCAACGAAACCTAATTGACTGTTACACTTTCATATGAAGTGTTCGGATCGGGTTTTGAATAGTAAAAATTTAACTTAGGGAAACCATAGTTTATTGGGGCGATGGGTTACTATTAGGAAAGTAATTTTAGATTTTTAATACGATCATTTTGTTTCGTACTTTTAGCCGTAGTTAAGTAAATGACTATATTTGACCTTATGATGTCATAATCCATACTTTTATTGGCATTCTATCATTTAGAACCAAATTTTGTTGTTCTCGAATTAGCAGTGAACCATTAGTTCGCGTAAAGTTTTCTTCGTATGAGTTCTAAGGTTTATTAATTGTCTGGTACAGAATAATACAATTGTATAAACTTAGAGATGCTTTACATCAAGCAATTTCTATGAATAAGTATGATATAAGTTTAAATATCAAAGTATTTTTGTTGATAGGTATCAATATCAAGTTTATACTTGATGGTTTCAAATAAACTGAACATTAAGTAGACAGCTAATAATAAACTATTTTTATGTTCCAATAAGTAAAAAAATTGTATTTCTGACGTTTCGGGCCTTATTACAAGCCACTTCTTGAGATAAAATAAAATAAATTCACTCTAAGGAAGTGGCTTAAATTAAGTCACGAAACGTCAGAAGCACGATTTTTGTTTGGTTTCCAAGTATTTTAAGTTGTCGGTTACTCATAAAGTTGGAAGGTCTTGAATCTCATCATTATATACTTATGGAATATAGATTAAAATTGGTTATTTTAGCGTGCTTTTGTAAATTGTTAATTTTTTTATAGGTCCCCAGTTAAATGTCATTCCATACAGTTCATACCTTAATCCTGTTCATTCTTTGTGAAATACATTTCTTGGGTTTGGGTTTCTGATAGAGGCAAATTTATTATATTTGTTATATAATATCACTTAAAAATGTAATTGGTTGGTTTGAGAGATCCGAAAGATTAATTTTAGTAATAATTAGTAAGCGAAGCAACTTTCAAGCTTTGTTCTAGTTATTTAGCAAAACGCATTATTTGAAATGCATACTATATAGTTTCAAGTTAGAAGGATAATGAGTTATATTAAGTATTGAACAAATGTCCTAATGTTAGGTATAGTATTGATGGTACAAATAAGGATCAGTAGAAACGTATTATTTCTTTACATTATCTTGGTTTACACCTAAACAAAAGTTGTTTCCAGTCAAAAAATTAATCATATCCATAACCTATTTTCTATCAATATCTTAACATGTTTAAAGTGATTTTTCGGTATTTTTTATTGTACTTGTTTTTGAGCGCATGAAATTTTTGTTTGGTGTGACAAGTTAGTGATCTACTTATTTTGATTTCATTATAAAACCCGAAAGTTTAAAGGAGTTTAGAATATTGGTGGTAAAGAAATAAGAAATATAATCCATTAGATATAAACCTAAATTATATGTAATTATTTCCACTTAATTATGTTGTTCATATTCAAGTGAATGAGTATTATAATGTCTTAAATCCCACGCTTTTGAGTTCTGTTTCTCTCCACTGTTCTTCCCGTTGGAAACTAACCATTCTAACTCTCCAGTAGTGCGCATCCACGATCCCACCCACAGGATTCGAACCCAGGATCCAGGGTGCGCACTGCTGAGGAGTCCCGTACTGGGACAAAACGGCCATCTAGTGCTCCCAGGTTTTCCATGGTGGTTTAGCTTTAATTAATTCAAGAATGCAACTATTAAATTAATAAAGAATCTCCACAAAATCCCTTTCTGCTAATAATCCTAACTCTTTTCACCTGGACAATGTCTTCATTTATGATGACTGTCAGTTTGTGGATTTTTTGTGCTCTACTGAACATTGTACTTTTAGCTTTCTGTTTTATCTGAAACTAGAAGAATACTGGACTATCCTAAGTCATGTCAACAACAGGTATTGTTTTAAAGTGTAAGTTTTGTTTGCTACAATTTTACTAGCTTCATTGTAGATAAATATATATGAGAAGCTGTTTGGAGATTTATTAATAATATGCGGATACTGACCGGGCTTTTTAATTGTACTAGCTTTCGCATCGTTCGAGGCTCAGAACAAGGTTTTCTGTTATTTGACAATAATGATCATAGTTGATCATCAACCCTGGTAGATATAATACGACATCGAGGATTCAGATCAGTCTTACTTGCTGCTTCACTTACTGAAATGAAACACTTAGTTGGTCAACGCCTATGACTAAAATTACCCAGATCCACTTCACTTTGAGAATAACTGCCGATCATCAAAAAAATACGGTCTTAATGATGAGTTAAGTGGTCAAGTGACCACATTGTGAAATTCGACTAACACCAACATAACATTGCCCATATGAAGCGTCAGTTAGTATCCATATCCCGGCACTAGTCTGCTGGAATAACTTTATAATATACTAATCACTTTCATTGACTCTTAAAACTAACATATTTAAAACATTTCACTTGTTTTCAACGACTAATTTATAAATACTGTGAATGAAATCGTTGTCAGAGTAACTCATTTTTGTAACTAATTAATTTCGTACCATCTCTCTTTTTTTTTAAGCAATTGATTATGTTCAGTTCTTTCATATCATTCACCTATAAATGTTGTCTGTTACTGTAAGTCAACACTGATTTTCTCCATTGTTACTGTCGGTAATGCTGATGTTGTTTTTCAAGGAATGTAAAGTATCATAATTAATAAGCCATTCACTAAACTTTTTTTAATTATTATTTAGTTCATGATAACAACATGGTTTAATATAAACTGTAAATATCTTTGAAATTAATTATTATTTATTGAATAATATTTCACTATCAACTAATGAATATAAGTGAATGTTTCACAATGTGAAAAATGTTGATAATTGACATCATAAACATAAAACATTTACTGTTAATACTATAGTTAAAAGCACACAATGAATATCATAATACATTGTATATCGATTTTCCTAATTTCTTCTTAAACACACTACTCACATTTCTCAGCGGTTTTTTTTTCTGAAAAAAAATTATTAGAGTTCACTATTTCTATATTTTTCATTTGTTTACTAATTATTCATTTCTTTATACACTAACAATCGATAAATCAACAACTGTGTAGTGAAGAAGATACAGTATATATATATATAGAAATAGAAACTAATTATTGATTTAAATCTAGTTTATTCAATAAAAGTAGCATTGATTTTGAGCGTGATAAGCTTAATATTGATATTTTATTTTATTATTAGGCTAATAATAGTGACAATCAAATTAATTATTTCTTATATTCTAAAATTAATAATCACCACGTAGGGGAGTTTATTAATACATAAGCTAAAAAAGGACTTTTTTTCTTCAATTGATAATCTGGTTTATATAAGTTCATAATTGGACTATGAAAAAGTGATATTAAGTTTGTGATAGATGTGCCAAATCTATTAGAGTAATTATTGGATGAATGTGAATATGAGCTGTATTAGCGATCACCAAAAAAAGCCAATTTGTCTGTATAATTTTGTATTGTCAGATGTGATGGATTCCTGGAATAGTTAATTCCTTATTGTTTTCCGTACATTCTAGTCGATGTATTGCTTTCTCATATAAAATGAATGCTGACGATTATTCTATGAATTTTCTTAGAAAAATCCGTTCTATCCAAAGGTATATATATTTTATGTATATGTGGATTAAAGTCGGTACATATTTCGTACCCTCAGATTTTTGAAGGATCATTAATCAAGTTAAGCTGTCAAGTTCAGGCTATTTTTATTGATTTTTTTGCGCGGTTCTTTCAGTAAAAACTGTGCTCATCTAACTTTACATGTCTAAAGTATACGGTTTCCCTTTTGTGGAAACAAAACATGACACTGGAAATTCATTTGAACTTTACTGATACTTTCTGTCACTCTTACTGTTTGGACCCAATTAACATTATACACCTGAAATATTTAGAATTACTTTCTGCACACTTTCAACAATTCATACATGTTTAAAAAACAAGATTTAAAATTTTAGTCAATGTATGTGTATTTGCTCT